AACCACCTTGCAAACAATTAGAGCTCTCTTAAAGTAGAACAGGCTGTTTCAGGATGTTCCCCATCACTTAGGTTTCAAGTGGAGGCTGCATGACTCCTTGTTTCATTTTAAATTAAAAAAAAATTTTCAATTAGCCAGCATTTTTTTTCTTTCCTCCCTCCCCCCCCCCTTGGGGAGGAACATAACCCTTGTAACAAATGTGCATAGTCAAGCAAAATAAATTCTCAACTTGGTCATCTCCAAAAATATTGTAATAACAGCTAACATTGATATAACACTTACTATGTGCCAGCACTGCATTAAGTGCTTTACAATTATTTTCTCATTTTATCCTCAGAATACCCCTGGGGGGCAGGTGCTATTATCACTCTTATTTTACAGATTAGGAAACAGGCCAACAGAGGTTAAGTGACTTGCCTGAGGTCCCACAGCTAATAAGTATCTGAATCTGGATTTGAACTCAGATCTTCCTAAATGCAGGCTTGGAGCTTTATCTACTACACTGTTCCTAGGTGGCCCATTGAGAATCCTTATGTATAATATCCCCTGTTTCTATTTGACATCACTACCTCAATGATCTCTGAGGCCCCCTCCATTTCTGATATTGCCCAAGATCACTTAGCTAGTTTTATGGCATAGCCAAGCTGGGATCTGAAGAACCCTCACTATTTGTTCTTTCCATCACACCAGCACAGCCAGTGGTTCTAGTAATCCTGGAACATTAGAACTGGGAAGGACCTTAGTCCTTTAGCTTTCGTCCAACCCCATCACTTAATAGAGAAGGAAACAGAGGCTCAGAAGTGAAGGGATTTGCTTACAGTCATACAGCTAATAAGCAGAGCCAGTATGAGAAGCCGGGTGTCCTGAGCCCCAGTCCAATGTTTTGTCCACCGTGCCATGACAGCCGTTTTACTTTATGGTTTCTTGGTGGACAAAAGCTGAGGCAGTTGTAAGAGGGTTCTGACTGGGTCAGGAGTTCTTAATCTGGAGTTTGTGACCTTGGTTTTCTTTTTGAATATTCTGATAACTATTTCAATGTATTTCATTTCCTTCGTAATCCTATATGCTTTATGAATTTAAAAACATTATTCTGAGAAGAAGGTTTTACCAGGCTAAGGGTTCCTGACCCAGGAAAGGTTGCTCTAGATGGGCTTTAGATCCTTTTGGTGAGTTGGTCTAGCCTTGATATCAGATAAGCATAGATAAGTCACTGAGTCCATTCTCTGAAGAAAGAGTCACTAAGTAGTTCTTCAGTCTGAAGTACTATTACTGACAAGCCTCAAATCTATTCACTGGTATCAAAAAAGCTAATTCTTGCCACCAAGTACTCTTTTATACCCCCTCAGCCAGGAAAGGAGAATAATGATGTTTTTTTTTCTCCTTTGGGTTGAATTCTTGGCATTTTTTAGGCTGCTTTAATTCAGTGCAATTCAACAAATATTTTATTGTATTTTATAAACATGTTGATGCCAATAAAATGAAAACTCCTTGAGAATAGGGATTATGTCATTCTTTGTATTGGTAGCCCCAACATTTAGTGCAGAACCTGGCACATAGTAGATTTTGAAAAAATAATTTCTTGCTGATTGATTAGCGCATCCATTTTGTGCATGGCATTTTGTTATGTTCTAGGGAAATACAAAGTTTCGGTAAGACATCTCCTCACCCTTATGGAGCTCATAGTCCAGTCAGAAGCCACATCTCCAGTATCCAATATAAGACAAGAAACATTGAAAAAAGTACAAAACCAGGCACTTTGTGAGCTTCAAGGAGCAAAAGATTGTTAATAAGTGATCTCTAATCACTAAAGGCTTCAATGGGAAGGTAGAGATTAGGTTGAACTTTAGAGGCTGGGAAGGATTCAGCAGGTAAAAAGGGAGGGGTGAAGACATTCTAGGAATAGAGTATGGCACACCAAAAGTACAGAGGTAGAAACACATGAGGGATGTTTGGGGAAACAGGTTAGTTCATATGGTTGGAATTAATAGTTGAATATTTAGGAGTGAATGAGACTGTCAAGGGAGAAAGTAATGGAAGGGAACCAAGGACAGAGCCCATTGGAATACTCAACTTAAATGATCAGAAAGGGAATTAAGAACCAGGGAAGGAGTTTGAACAATGGTTAGAATAGGACAAAAACCTACTAGTGAACTCAGAAAGGAAGGAAGAATGGGTGGTGGGTCTGAAGAGCTTTAGTCCTAGGGGATGGTCAGCAGTGCCATATGAAAAATGAGAATTCAGAGAGGGGGGATCACTAGAAAAGGCCATTAGATTTAGTAATTAGGAGTTCATAGGTGGCTTTTGAGGCAGCCATTCCATCAGAGTGATGGAAAGTTAGATTGCAAGAAGTTGGGGAGAACAGGTAGTGGGGAAGTGGATTCATTGGGTATAAACACTTTTTTCCCCCCAAGCAATTTATTCATAAAGAGAAGAAGAGAGATGAAATGGTACCTGGGTAAGGTAGAAGAGCTGAAAGAAAGCTTTTTATTTCTTTTTTTTTTCTTTGTGAAATTGGGGAGGCCTGAGGGTATTAGTTGGGATAGGGCCAGTAGAGAGGGGGACATACATGGGGAGATGTTGTTGGAGATGGCAGGAAGGGTTGATGGGGTCAGGAGAAGAGCAATTAAATTTTTTTAAATTAAATTTTTTTTTCAATCAGCAAACGTCTGTCCTCTCCCCACCCACAATGAGAATGAAAGAAAAAAAAAACTCCTGTTATAAATATGTGGTTAGGCCACTCTTTTTTCCCCCTGCATTTTATTGTGGTCATTTCAGCTGTTTCTGACTCCATTTGGGGTTTTATTGGCAAAGATACTAGAGCGATTTGCTATTTCCCTCTCATTTTACAGATGAAGAAACTGAGGCAAACATGGTTAAGTGACTTATCCATACAGCTAGTAAGTATATGAGATTTGAACTCAGGTCCTCCTGACTTCAGGCCCACCACTCTATCCCCTGAGATACCTAGCTGCCCCTTGTGTGTATATACCTATGTCTCATTCTGTGCTCTGAGTCTTTTACCTCTCTATGAGGAGGTAGGCAGTATATTTCATCATTAGTCCTCTGGAATTGAGGATTGGTCATTCTGACGTTCAGCATTCCTAACTTATTTATAATATTACTATCTTTGTATAAGTTGTTCTCCTGGTTGTTTTTACTCTACATCCAGTCCATAGAGATCTTCCTAGCTTTCTCTGAAACCCTCCCCATCGTCATTTCTTACAGCTCAATAGGATTCTATCCCATTCATATGCTATAATTTGTTCAACCATTTCCCAACTGATGGGCACTCCCTCAGTTTCCAATTAGAGCTATTCCTTTTAAGAAGGAGTTGGGATACTCTTTTCTCTGTTCTTTGAGAGGAGGAGAGCAGCATGATAATGCTGACATTTATTGAGAAGTATTGAGGGGGAGAGTTGTAAGGAAGATCATTAATCAATCAACAAGAATTTATTAAGCATCTCCTCTGTTTCAGGCACTCTACTAGACCCTAGGAATAAAAAATACAAAAGTGAGATAGTCCATGACCTCATAGAGCTTAAGTTTAGCTGGGTTCTGTCAGATGAACTGCAGCTTTTCAGTGAGGTAGTAGGCTCAATTAATTGCCTGTAATTGTGGGGCAGGGACTAGAGAAGAAGGGAAAAAGTTTGGAGTAGTCTCAAAAGAATGACATAGGGAGCTGATAAGAGCAGTGAGGAGTCAGCTGTTACATAAAACAGAAAGCTGCAGGGGATTAAATAAACTCTACTTTGTGGCTTTGTCAAATGATGTTTAGCAGTCTGAATGTAGGAACAGAACAAATGGATGGTGAGCCATCCGCACGTGGAATGGGCTACCTTAGTTGATTGTGGGTTCTCCTTCCCGCAGTTGGAGGTCCTTGAAGAGAGGTTTGTTACAGGAATACGTTAGGAATGCTAGAAAAGGGATTCTTATTTTGTTGTGTTGGACTAGGCATCCTCTGAGGTTCCTTCCAATTTGGAAATTCTGTGATCTAAATGTTTATAGAGAATGATACAGTCCTGACCTGTCCTCTACAAGACATGACATCTGTGTGGGGAAATGTCCGCTTGATAAACAGGCATGGTATGTACAATAGAGACCAGATAATTGAAGTGATATAGGTATAAGGTGATAGATATAGATACAAACATAATAGTAAAACATAAGGTGATTCCTTATTTCCGTCACAAACTAGATCTGAATCGTCATGAGGTTAAGACCAAAGTTACTTAAACACTTTCTGTGGCTGCACTTCTGGACATTTGAGGTTCCAATGTAGTTATGATAATTTGCTGTTTAACCCCGTTTGTCAGAGTCTCTTGCTGCTCCCCTATGGTGATGACCCAGTTAGCTTGGGGTGGAGCATGGTAGCTTCATTGGCCTAATAGAGATGGTTGTGTAAGGAAGACCAGGAGCAGCTTTAGAATCAGAATTTAATGAAATACTATTTTAGGTTAGGATGCAGAAGATTTGGGTGGTGGCCTGGATACTCAGAAGCAACAAAGAGAGAGAGGTGACAACGTGAAAAAAAACCCAAACAAAATGAAACCCTGATTCTTAAAATGAACTTTAGAGAGGGAAAGATGGGTGTTATATGTCACTTACCTGTCAGATTTCTTTGGAAACATTTTCTGAAATACCTTACAGATTGAATAAGAAAAGGCACTTTTCTATGAAGTTCTTTTAAGATAGAGCTGAACATTAGCAGCATAAGGAAAATTCCCTTGTGTGTTAACATTTCTGAAGTAAAACCTCTGGTACAGACAGGGCCCATTTGCCTGGTAGGTGGTTGAGTTTTTGGTCCTTAAACATTTCGAATGAGTAGTATACCTCCAAGGGAATTTCGTAAATGGACAAAAAATTTGGTTATGGGAAAAGTGAAAACCATTGAGTTTTACAGGTAACTTGAAAAATTCTTTAAGTTGAACTTTTTGTTAGCAGAAGATTTGAGTGTGGCAGCATTAGAGATTCATTTTCTCTGTGTGTGCATAGAACAGGTGGGCCAGCATGAGTGGCTCCTGTGAGCTTGCTATGTGCTTCTCTGGAAGGGTGTGAACTCAGATGGCCAACATTTCCAGACCTGGGCTGTCTGTGGACTTGCCTGTAAGAAAGACCAGCAATGGTGAGTTGTCATTTTCTTTTTCTCTTTGAAGTGAACAGTTAGTGGCAGCTGATGCTGTGCTGTGATGCTTATGGAAAGGCCACCAGAAGGTAATGTCTTTTCTTGGTCTTTTGGATTTGAACTAGTAACCTGGAGGTGAGAACTTCTGTATTCCATTACCAATCCTTTGAGCCCTCCAGTGCACCCTGAAATAGCCATGACACTTGTTGTCATGTGTGGTATGTCACATCCGTTCATGAGGAAAACCTACACCCGAAGGAAAGAGAATACTCTGGACAAATCCCATGATAGCAGCTTGGTAATTAACAGCTCCAGCTTCCGATTGGGAGATGACTAATAGTAGCTCATTGCCAGACTGTGTTAATAATCATAAATGGGGGGTGATCCCATATCAACACCCCCTTAGTGGGCCCTTGTTTTTGTTTCTCATTAACTAAAGTGATTTTTCTTGTTAGAGGGAATAGTTTTAATCATTACTATAGAGGAGACCAGAGAGACTCATATGAGGGCTTCATGATATTCCAAGATGGTTGTAATGTTGTCATTTATGAGAATCAGCAGTCCACAGGTAACAACTGGCTGTCATCTCCACTGACGATCCTCTGAGGGCAAAAAAAAAAACCCGCCATTACAAATACCAATGAAGCTCAGTGTTGTTTTGTTAATAAAGGCTTTATAAAAACCAGTAGTAAGCCATCTGGACCTGGGGCTTTGCCAGGCTGGGGAAACTTAATAGCTTCTTAAGTTTCAGCAGTAAAAATTGGGTTATCTAGGGGATCAACCATGTGGGCAGGAATGGTAGGGAGTTACAGTTTATTTAAAAAGGTGAGAGGGCTTAAGATAACCCTGGAAATTGGCAGAAAGTAAAGATGGACTCTTTGGATGAGCCCAGTTTCTAATATCTCTGCAAAAAGAAATAATCTATGGCTTCAGCTCAGCAACCTAGGTTACCAGCCTCATCTTCAGAGCTGCAAATAAACATGGGGAGGGAAGTTGTTACATAAACAATTGTCAAATAATCTTTCTTCCAGGCTACCTCATTCATAAACTGAATGCCTGTAGAAAGACAGGTTGTTTGAGGTGAGTGTTAATGTGTCCCTTTGCACTCTTGAGACTTTGCACCTGCTGGGTAGTGCTGGGGAAGGGAGATGTGAATTTTCTCAAATACTTATGGGACAAACTTAGCCCTGGTAGCCTGTATTAAGAAGTAAACTGCCCAAGAGGTAACTCACCCCTGAGAGCCATCTTGTCTTTCTCAGAGCCAGGGGAAATCTTATTTATGCTCAGCATTAAAAAATGTAAATGGAGTCATCTAATAGTGGCCTCCTGAGAAAGAAATGCAGATGTCCAGGGATGCTGGGTGGAAATGTGGCACAGACTAGGAAAGGGGAGGTAGTTAATATTGGGAGAGAAAAAGTCTCTCTACTGAGCAAGATAGAAAACTGAAATATTTATAAAAAAATTTTAGAGCCATCAGATATTAGCCAAGTGGACGCAGATACAGGTAATTATGGAGTCTCACTAACAAAAGCAACTTTCTCTCCTGTCTCTCTAAGGTATCAGAATAGGCAAAACTCCATTTCAGGAAGAAATAATTGAGAAGGATTCTGAACATTTTTTTATATAAAATATTCTTATTCAGTAGGTCAAGGGTGTAATTTTCATGTAGTAGGTACAGACAGGGTAATACAGTGCTTCGGTTTGAATACCAGTGCTGCTATTTACTTCTCATGTTACTTTGGGCACATCTCTTAACATCTTAACTTCTCTGGATTTCAGATTCTTCATTTGTAATGTTAGGACATCATTAGATGACCTCCTGGATCCCTTCCAAATACACTTAATGAACTACCTACTCATATCTTGGCTCAAGGCCCTTTGATTGGATCTGGGGATATGAAAATGAAACAGCCCCTGCCCTCGAACAGTTTACATTTTACTGGGGCTGATAGAGCATGGACACAAATAAATAATGTGAAGAGAAAGAGCTGTGAGCCTCAGAGCAGGCATCATGCTTGAGGTGGCCCCTCAGCTGAACCTCATGAAAAGAAGGATTCTGAAAGGTGGCTATGAGCAGACACTGCATTCCAGGTATGAGGAACCGTTGAGGCAGGGCATGTTATGGTGAGTGTATGGGCAACAGCTAAATACTTCAATTTAACCAGAAATCTCACTAAATAAAATAAGTCCTAAGAGGTACCAGATTGTGGAGGGCCTTAAAAACCAGTATGAGAAATTTGTCCTTTGTTTTAGAGTCAGCATGGAGCCCCTGAAGATTTTTAAGGAGAAGAATAACACAGTCAGATCAAAGATTATTTTGGCAGTTGTGTGAGGATGGATTGGAGAGAGGAGAGACTGAGGGAGTAGAGGCCAACCAGGAGACTATTGTAATAGTCTAGGCAATGGGTGGTGTGGAGTAGTGGAAAGAATTCTAGACCTGGTGTCAGAAGGCCTCTTAGCTCTGTTACTTAGCTTTGTGATTTTGGGCAAATCACCTAATTTTTCTATGTGTCAGTTTTCTTAACTCCAAAATAATATGATTTGATGAAAAATAATTTGACAACTTGATCCAAAATAATATGATTTAGATATGAGGAAGTAGAATGATTCTTGTGATTGCATCTTGTGGGGGTGTTTGTTGCAAGAGTCAAATGAGAGGATATAACCTAAACTGTAATCAAATATAACATAACTGAAGCACCGTATGAGTATAGGCTATTATTCTAGAACTAAAACCATCTGCCTTAAAGGACCATCATTTTTGGTCTTTAAGAAAATAGGCCAGGGTGCTTGGCTGGTAGACAGTGTAGCCCTTTGCCCAAAAGCTGTTAAAGAAGACTTTCCACGGTGCTAGTATGTAGGAATCCAGAAAACTAAGAATGAAGAAAGCCAAGGGAGCCGATGTTTGTGAATGAACTATTTCTTGGAAGCAGGAGAAAAATTTGTGAATACAGGAGCAGGGAAGAGGATAAAGGATTCTGGGTCTCAGTGTGTCGAATAGAAAACATGATTCAGACTCACAAGATTGCCCATTTGCTCATTTTTCTTTCTCCTCTCCCAACTTTTGTGTTTTTAAATAGCTTATTTTCTTTTCCTCGCCGTTAAATTGATTACTTTTTGTGGCTCTGTTTCCTAGGAAGTGTCTGAAGCCTGGTTCTCTTTGCACATCACTCTCTACCTAGAAGTCACCCGCACAATCTTCAGAGAGCTAGGCCTTGCTGATAAAGCTGTAGAACCTGTCTCCTGTGGTCAGGGGAAAGAATGACCTTGATGTCTTCACATGGAATGTAGCCCACAAACTACATTTCCTTCCACCTTGGGTGAGGGAGGCTATTTCAGGAATGGGAATGTTCTTATTTTGAAAACTTTGTTCACCAAAGGGATTAAGAAGAAATAAAAGAAATCTACTATTCCCTACACATCTGAATAAATTCTAAACATGTGCAAAATGGTGGCAGAAGTTAATATCCAAATGAATCGATAAGGAGGGCACGACAATTGGAGGATGTGTTCATGTTAGAGATTAGAGTATAGACAGATCTGGGAAGCAAAACAAACTTAGTCTACTGCAATTGCAGTTCTAATTATGTGTTCTTATCTATGGAACATCTGACTCGCCAGCTGAAGCCTTCCTGATACGTTGTCTCCGCCATTAGAATGTGAGGTACTTGAAAGTAAGACTTGTTTGACTTTTCCTTTTGTGTCTCCAGTGCTTAGCATTTTGCTTTGTACATAGTAGGTGCTTAATAAAGGCTTCATTCATTCATTCATTCATTCATTCATTCATTCATTCATTCATTTTAGAATGAGGATAGTACATGTTAACAGAACCAGCTCTCTCCCTACCCCCTTTTACAGAGATACTGGAGGAATGAACTAAGGTTCCTGTAGCATTCCTGCCATCTAAGGATATAAAAATATGAAATATTTTATCAGGGTACAAGTGTTATAAAAACCTTTACCTGCATTACCAGAACCTGCTTCTTCTGTATGTTTTTGATTACGTTAGTCTGGGTATTTATCTTTTTTTCAGTGTGGCACTGTTACCTAAAGGTACATATTTTTCAGATCATTATAAGATTCCTAGTGTGATAACACTGGAGAAGGAAAAACCCACACATGCAGGCCAGCCTTGGAACAGCGTGAGCGCTGATGGTGAGATTGCATGACTTCTTTTTGGGCTGCACATCTGCAATGAACACCAGGCCCTACTTAAGCTGTAATCTATGGTTTTGAGGTCACTCCCAGTTATTATCTGACCGGTAATGACCACAGAACTATACATTATTGCTATTAGGAGCTATTTTTGTACTATTTTCAGTTTTCCTTTTTATTGAGAAGCTGCTGACACCCTCAGAGTTTTCCAGAGCCGGATTACAGTGGCTGAAACTCAAAGCAGTTTCCTTGGGTTGGGTGTTTGGAGAAGCAGACTCTTCTGTGCTGTTTTTTTGTTCACATGCTGTCTCAGAGGTGGAAGCTGGCGCTGAAATCTTACATTATTATTATTACTATTTTTTTTTTTGCCACCTGGGACTTCCAGCTTGCAGAAGTTGGTTTCCTTACCTCCTTCCCTCTTTAAAACAGTTCACAGGGTTAAGAGAGGAATGAAGTTTGTTTGGTTTCTATGCTGATTCTTTTCCCTGCATAATGATTTCCTATTGCTTAGCAGTGATTACCTCTTAACACACTGAAACCCACATTCCAGAAATTTTAAATAGTGTGGATAAAAATGGAAGTATTAATAAAACATCAAGACCTTTAAAGCCAACTGTTCTGTTGAATATCCTTAGTAACATTTTGGAACTTGGGGGAGGGCAGAGAATTTACACCTGGGGTCAAATTGTCATGGGGCAACATTCTTGAGGTTTTTGCTTCTGAGGAATTACTTTGAATTTTCATAAATCTCAGAATGTCGATTTTATAACCTCTGAATTAGGAATTTTGCAGAGCAAAAATAGTAGAGTTACTTGGGGGAGGAGTAAAAAAAACTCAAATGAAACTAACCTTGAGTAGTATCTTGCATCTGGGTACAAAGTTAAGATGTACATTAAAGAGTTAATAACTTTTAGTAAATTTAATGTTGCTTTCATTTGTAATTATGCTATGATTGTTATAGTTACTTCTCATATTGAGAAAATGAGACTAGTTTGAATTAAGTAGATCTTTAATTTTCAAATACTTAAATATTGATTTTTGAAAAATTCACTGTGATATTATAAAACTCTAAGTGGAGCAGCATGATATAATGGACAGAGGGCTGCCTTGGGAGTCAGGAAGACCTGAGGCCAAATCCTGATGCTATTATATACTAACTGTGTGACCGTGGAGAAGCCATTTAAATTCTCAGCACTCCCAACATGCCTAAGTCTGCATATTACAGATGCATTGCCCATTTGCATTGGTGAAGAGTATTTCCACATGGGAAGATCCCCACAGAGATGAAATTATAGGCCTGGACTTTACCTTCTTCTCCCCCTAAAAGCATTATTATTGTTAGCTTTATTCAACTGTTATTTTCTATGGTGATTCAAAGTAATTGTTCAGAAAGTAAAATAAGAAGAAAAATCAGGAATGTTGCCCCATGACAGTTTGACTCCAGATGGGAACCTTGTTTTCTGGCAGGCCATATTTAGATAGTACTTGCGAGCTTTGTAAAGCGTTTCCTTGGAAATCTGTGAGTTTAGGTAATGGAGTATTATTCTCATTCCCATTATATGGATGAAGATACTGAGGCACAAAGCTGTTAAGTGAACTGCTAAGAGAGGCTTGACTAGTGAGTGCCTGAGTTCAGCATTTTTCACCCTACTTCATACTGCTTCTTTGAGAGTATCTGCTCAGTGAAACTGTTGGCTAGAAAGACTCGATGATGAAGTTACATTTTGATTCCTTTCCTGTTGGATAGCGAGTTCATTATATTTGCCATTGTAATTTATTATTTTCAACTGCTTTTTCCACAAATGGACATAAATTTCATTGATGCCTATCTTTGTTTTCACCGCTGGGCTGCCTTACAAAGGGATGCATTTACATTTTTAATGGATAATCTTATCTAGAAATAAGGAATGACAAACTTACATTAATTATTGCCCTTGTCCAAAGTGGAAAAGAATCTCCATCATATATCTTTGTCCATTTATGTAACTGTCTAATGGCAGATAACTTATACCTCAGTTGCTGCAATAAATTTAAAACAGTAATAATAATAATGTTAATCCTGCCCAGAGAGGCAGTTTTATAAATCTTTAGCTTTGTGGAAAGATTTTTGGGAGATGCCTGTATTTCCAAAAGGCACATTTATGATGACAGGGCTGAGCCTTCCTAACATGTATTGTTGTCATTCAGCTATTTTGAACCATGATAATGCCAGCCCCTTGAATGTATTATTATTGGTAATCTGCTCTCATCATGTTTTCTTCCACAAGAGAAGTCAGATGTGTATAACATCATGTGCCATGTGATTTTTGCTGTCTTTGAGAGATGTTGAGTATTTGAATGATTATCCCTTTTATACCTAAGTACACAATTCCAAGAAGGTTTAAATCAATGTGTTAATTGGTAAGTGATACTGTAATTATATGTATAATCATGAAAATTTTGAATCCAGATTATTTACTTGCTCTCAGGAAATTAATCTACAGAGGTCATATATTAGATTGCTTGTTTATTAAGTGGGACCCCTGGAGTTACAAACTTCTGATTGGCTACACCCGCAAAGAAATGTTCTGAGGGCTGGATCCAGCAGGTGTCAACAGTTCAGGGCTCTGAGTGCTTATTGATCCGGATTCAAACAGTTCATTAATCTAAGCACACATTATATAGATTTTTCAATGTAATTTTGAAAGGGTTGAAAAACTATATTGAATGATGAGAGATGATACTCAAATTAAGCTTTTTATAGCACATCTCCCTTGAGATTGTGACTTTCAAACAAGGAGGGGTGCTGGAGCACAGAGTAGTTAGGACTTTGTCTATTTTAGTTTGATCTTATGTTTATGGGTAGGTAGCTGATAACAAACATTTGACACACCCTTTTCATTCCACTGGTTCACTCTTAGGGGTGGAGGATAAGAAATACTTTGATCAAGAGAGGATGTTCATAATGGTTCCAAAAACACAAGATAGACCTCAATGGACATAATGATCAAAGCAACAAAGTTTGGACTCATTGAGGGATCATAGGAACCATGACATTTTAGAGCTTAAAGGCATCTTAGACATCATTTAGTCCACCTCCTCCCCTACAATTCTACAGATAAGGAAATTCAGTCCTGAAGAGTTGAAATGACTTGCCCAAAGTCACATAGTTAGAAAGTAGCAAAATTAAGACTAGTTTCTGGATCTCTTGAGTTCCAGCCCAGTAATTTTTCCAGTTTGCCATATAATCTCTCAGTAAAGATCCAGAAAAAGGAAAGGGGTAGGGAATGCTTTTGTCATGAAAGTAGGTTATAGTTTGCAAAGAGTTTTTTTTTTCTTTTTGGTGAGGCAATTGGGGGTAAGCGACTTGCCCAGGGTCACATAGCTAGTAAGTGTCAAGTGTCTGATTTGAAATCGGGTCCTCCTGACTCCAAGGCTGGAGCTCTATCTACTGTGCCACCTAGTTGCCCCTGCAAAGTATTTTTAAAGACTTTTAAAAAAACTCTCCCTTTTCTTTCCCTCCCCTCAAAGATTTCCCTGCATTTTTACAGTTGTTTTCCTTGAGTTTGCTTACTTCTGTAGAGCCTAGGTTTTATCAGTGTGGGTACGTACAACTCGGGTGTTCACTGAGACCCAGCTACACCTTCCGCGGACGTAGGCCTTGATTCCTATATCAGCTGGTTCTCTGCCTATGAAATGCTGGGCCTAGCTAGCTGTCCATCTGAAGCGTCTGTTTAAGATTCATGTGCCGGCGCACTAACAGAATAGACTATCTATATATGTCTACATATGTCACAATACATTTGAGAAATCTTTCCATTTGTAAGAAAATGGAGAAATCTCATCGTCTGTAAGAAAACCTCTGTTTAATTTCAACTTTTCACAAGACAGGGTACAGGACCCTAGGTCTAAATATACCAAAGGTGATAATTTTAGGAGCAAATCAAATTATACCTAATGCCTTTTTATGTTACTAAACCAACAAAGTGATTTTAGAGCTCTGAAGGCTATTAAAATTATTCCATGTAATTTAATTTTTTCTAAAAGTCCCATTTATTTTTTCCATTTCTGGAAACTTTGCCTCTCCAGTTAGGTCAAGCTATTATTCGAGTCAGGTCAGGCCTTATCCAAAGGCAGAATAAGTGGCTGCCAATATGATGTGATTAGAAGGGCATTCAAAAATCTCCTCCCAATTTTCTCACCCACTTGCTTACATATGAAATTCCTTTAATAGGGGATAAAGGCTTTCATTACCCAGTTAAAGATAGGTCTTAAAATAGCCTTGGGAAAAGTAACAACACATTGGCTTAAATTCACACCAAGCCAAATGACTAATATCAGATACATTCAGGAAACAGATTTTGAGAATAGCTAGTAATAATAATAGCTGGCTTTTATATAGAACTTTAAGGTTTGTAAAACATTTTACATATAAATGTAAAACGTTTTCACATTTGCTCTTCCCTCAAACCTGGTGAAGCTGGTATTGTTATCACCATTTTGCAGGTGAGGAATCTGAGAAAGGGCAAGTGATTTGCCTAGTGTCACACAGCCAGCAAGTGC